AATTAAGTAACTAATTCTCAGAAAAAAAAAAATCTTGTAGAAATGTAATTTTTTATTCATGCATACATCAATATTTAACTGCAATATTAAAATTAATTGAAACTAACAATCCATATTTATCACATAAAGTAGATGTATTATAGATATGGGAGTAATTTCTCTATGAATCTCTTACACAGATTATCTGGTACATGCATGATCTCATCTCTTGCTCAATAACCTTAATCTTTAGTAAATCTTTATATACTAAAAATATAAATAAAACAAGTTTTCAATATGCAAACGTAATATATTATATTTATATATATGAAATATATACTCATCATACATATGAAGTAAAACATATGAACAACAATATGAAACAATTTCATATATTAACATATGTATCTAGTCCATAAAATGTTTATGCATGTGTAATGAATTTCTGGACATATATGTCATGTACATTTATTTCCATCATGTACATGATATTCATCCATATAAAAATCATTATATAGATTTTAACATAATATGTGCATATATAGACACATTTTACTATGGGGATTTTATGTGTTATAAACTTAAATCTTCATCAACCCAGAAAATGTACGTACAGTATATGAAAATAATATTTTGCCTTATAGGTAGCATATATGGCAATATCACTCTTGATATAGGGCAATATTAAATTTCCATATGGGTTGCAATTCAGCCATTTCTAAAACAATTTTCATACTGATTCATTCAAAACTAAACAAGGATATTGAGTATTTAATCTCTTTTGAACCTTTCATGGTTGGATGCACGCTAACAGTGCACTTTTTCACTATGTCACAGCCAAATGTGGTATTTAATATCAAATCAATACAAACAGTGCTATATGTCAAGCACAGAACATAAATTATTAAAGAACAGTCGGCTCAGTCTTTCTCTTACTCTCATTTCTTTTGATGGGCACACTTCAGGTGTGAAAGCTAATATGCTATTCCATACTGCCCATAGCACTTGGCCAGATCTCAGCAGCCATTGATGCGGGTGTCATGTCTGATACATCACAGGCTTTCCGCTAGAGATGTAGCAATTGTTACGTGGCTGCGGGACGTGGCTAGATTAAATGTGTAACTATGTTTGGGGTCAGCAGGCACTAGAAAGATCCCTGCTATTAGATTGGGATTAAGGAGACAGTGAGGCAAAATGAACTGCCTTGACTTAGTTGCAGCACGTGACGTGAGAAAATCTCAGAAATGAGAAATGTGGAAACGTTTCTGTTGCTGGGTTACTCAAATATAATAGTCGTGGAAAAATGGGCTGGAGTCTCAGCACTGACTTGAACTAGTGAGAATGTCTTATCATTGCTAAAATAACTTTTAACATCAGATTTATCTGATTTAACATAAACATTTTTTTTTTTTTAAATATAAAAAAAAAACATACAGTAAGAAGAAGAAGAAGAAGAAGAATGAGCTTTATTGCCAGGTATGTTTACACATACGAGGAATTTGTTTTCGTGACAGAAGCTTCCACAGTGTAACAGAATGACAGTGACAGAATAAAAAACACAGATAATAAAAAATAAATAAAAAATAGAACAAGTAAATAAGGAATACAAATATATAAATCGACAATTGTATGTGCAGGTATATAACAATAGACATTATATGTATTCCCTGTAAAGTAATATGTATTCCCCTTATGGTTTTTACTGTTTTTTTGTATTAGCACAATCTCTTTGAAAAGTCTTTTTCAGTCTCAGCCAGAGGCTGGGAATATTTATTTCCTCATGCTTTCGCTGGGGAAACAAAACTATAAAGTATCTGGTATATGATTATCTTTTTTAAAAAGTACTGTTTTGTAACAGATATGAAGAATAGGGAGTAAACAGTGGCAGAAATCTACTCACATTACACTCACGTGGGCCCTCGGCTGCCATATGAATCCATTTGCTGCCCTGAGGCAACAAGCTTCATCTGCACTGGGAGTTTGAATGCCTGAAGAAATGAGTGCCCATGGCCTTTGATCTAAGTCTCTCGCATATGATTGTATCTTTGCAATCCAAAGCACTTAGGCATGCTCAGTAATTTCCACTACAGCCACAGCACCAAAGTGCATCAGCCACTGTTGGCAATTGTACCTTCCAAGCTGCACAAATTACATAACGGATGCCCTTTTTAATCTAAACATCCAATTACAGCTGCAATCAGTAATAATAATATCATAGATTAAAACAAACTAGTTAATAAATGACAGAAGCTTTTCCAATAGAGAGAGCTCTCCAGAAAATGAGCGTTCCTTGTCATGCTAAAAATGTAACGCTGAAGTCGTAATATGAAGTCTTGTCTCAGTAAATCTAAAGTTCAGTGTCTGTATGTTTGCCAGAAAAAGGGATAGCAATATTAAGCAGCATTTTTTCTGTATATGTTCAAGTTCAAGTTCAATTTATTTGTAGATCACATACAACAGCCACCAGGTTGACCAAAGTGCTTTTCAGAAGAGCAACAATTTTACCACATACACAGAGAACAAACCAGACAAAAATTTAAAACCGCACGTTTAAAAATTACCATATCACAGTAGTCAATACACTAAGGAAAACAAATAAGTTTTTAGCAAGGACTTAAAAACCATTCTAATCTCTATAGGTAGGCTATTCCAGAGTCGTGGCCCTGCCACCGCAAATGCACGCTCCCCTCTACGCTTAAGCCTAACGTGAGGGACCACCAACAAGGCCTGGTCACAGGATCGTAGGCTTCTAGACGGAGTATAGAAGTAAAGAAGGTCAGATAGATAGACAGGAGCTTGATCAAGTGTTAGACAGTGTTCTAGGTTATTACATGTGGAGTTTTTAGGTCCTATAATTAACACCTCTGTTTTTTTCAGAAGTTAACAGTAAGAAATTACTCGTCATCCAGTTTTTTATATCGACTATGCATTCCGTTAGTTGGTATGCACCACTCACACACTCTTGTCTACGAACAGTGAAATGTCTCAGTACTAATATCAGCACTCTTGAAATGACTGTTTTCTTCAATTGTTTTTCTTCTCCATTTCTGTCACCTGATGGAGTTTGGGTTCCTTGCCATCGTCCCTTTTGGCTTGCTTACATTGAATTGACATAACTCACGCTATTGGACGAGAACAAAACTTGAACTGAACTGAGTTCACTGAACTACAGGTGCATCTCAATAAATTAGAATGTCGTGGAAAAGTTCCGAGATGCACCTGTATATGCAGTGATTTACAAGTGTATATAATATATATCATTTTTAATTGTCACCTTTATTTTTATAGTGCTTTACACAATATAGATTCACAGTATTAAACAAAAAAGTAACAGAATATATGATGCAAACTTCAAATATGAGGCACATCCAAAATTGTGCTATAAAGCGGCTGTAGCAAGACAATAGTGTCATTATTCAGCTCAAGTCATTTCAGCGTTGAACTCAATTCAGCTCAAGTTTTGTTCTCGTCCAATAGCGTCAGTTATGTCAATTCAATGTAAGCAAGCCAAAAGGGATGATGGCAAGGAACCCAAACTCCATCAGGTGACAGAAATGGAGAAGAAAAACAATTGAAGAAAACAGTCATTTCAAGAGTACTGATATTAGTACTGAGACATTTCACTGTTCGTAGACAAGAGTATGTGAGTGGTGCATACCAACTAACGGAATGCATAGTCGATATAAAAAACTGGATGACGAGTAATTTCTTACTGTTAAATTCTGAAAAAAACTGAGGTGTTAATTATAGGACCTAAAAACTCCACATGTAATAACCTAGAACACTGTCTAACACTTGAT